AGCATGGGTTCATGGAAGGCAAATCTTGTATCACAACCTCCTGGAGTTTTATGAAAGGTAACAGAAGTAAGACACGAGAGAGAGGGTTGGGGTTTGATTGCGTTTTCCTAGATGCAGGAAGGCCTTTGACACAGTTCCCCACAAGAGATTAGTGCAGAAGCTGGAGGATCAGGCACACGTAAAAGGAAGGGCACTGCAATGGATAAGGGAATACCTGACAGGGAGGCAGCAACGAGTCATGGTACGTGAAGGGTATCACAGTGGGCGCCTGTTACGAGCGGGGTCCACAGGGGTCAGTTCTAGGACCAGTGCTATTTTTGATATATGTGAACGACATGATGGAAGGAATTTGACTCTGAGTGTCCTGTTCGCAGATGACGTGAAGCTGATGAGAAGAATTAAATCGGACGAGGATGAGGCAGGACTGCAAAGAGACCTGGAGAGGTGGACATGTGGTCCAGTAACTGGCTTCTCGAATTCAATCCAGCCAAAAGCAAAGTCTTTAAGATTGGGGAGGGGCAAAGAAGACCCCAGACAGAGTTAGGCTAGGTGGACAAAGACTACAGACCTCACTCAGGGAGAAAGACCTTGGGGTGACATAAACCGAGCACATCACCGGAGGCAACATCAACCAAATAACCGCTGCAGCATACGGGCGCCTGGCAAACCTGAGAAAAGCGTTTTCCGGGTACCTTAATAAGGAATCGTTCAAGACACTGTACACTGGTATGTTAGGCCCATACTGGAGTATGCAGCACCCGTCTGGAACCCCCACCTGGTCAAGCACGTCAAGAAGTTAAGAAAGTACAAAAGGGTTTTCAACAAGGCTAGTCCCCCGAGCTCAAGGGAATGTCGTACGAGGAAAGGTTAAGGGAAATCGGACTGACGACACTGGAGGACAGGGGGGTCAGGGGAGACATGATAACGACATACAAGATACTGCGGGGGGAAAAGAAACGGTGGACAGAGATAGGATGTTCCAGAGAGGGGACACAGGGACAAGGGGTCACAAATGGGAAGCTGAAGACTCAGACGAGTCACAGGGACGTTAGGAAGTATTTCTTCAGTTAGAGTTGTCAGCAAGGGGGAATAGCCTAGCAAGTGAAAATAGTGGAGGCAGGAACCATTCATAGTTTTAAGAAGAGGTATGACAAAGCTCAGGAAGCAGAGGGGAGAGAGGATCCAAATAGCGATCAGTGAAGAGGGGGCCAAGGAGCTGAGTCTCGACCCTGCAACCACAATTAGGTGAGTACAATTAGGTTTGGGACACCAAACCCCACACCACACACAGCAAATGTAGTTCCCATTTTTTAATAAGGAGACAGAAAAGAGGCACTAAACTAGAGACCGTGTATTGCGTGTTTTGTATGGAAATTTGGAGAAGATTATCAGGAGGAGGGTGGTGGAGCACTGGACGGAACAAGAGTATAAATGCCACAGCAGGATCGGAAGGCAAATCCTGGTCACAAACCTTCTGGAAATTTATGATAAAATAAAGAAGTAAGACACGAGGGGAGAGGGGTGGGTTGATTGCATCTCTTGGACTGCAGAAGGCTTTGAACACAGTTCCCACAAGAGATTAGTGCAGAAGCTAGGGGATCAGGTGCATTAAAGGAAGGGCACTGCAATGGATAGAGAATACCTGACAGGGAGGCAAAAGGAGTCATGGTACGTATGAGTATCACAGGGGCACCTGTGACAAGCGGGGGTCCACAGGGTTTGTCTAGGACCAGTGCTATTTTGGTATATGTGAACGAATGACGGAAAGTTAGACTCAGAAGTGTCCTGTTTGCAGGTGATGTGAAGTTAATGAGGAGAATTAAAATGATGAGACCAGGCCCGGACTTCAAAGAGACCCGGACGATGGACACCTGGTCCAGAAATGGCTTCTCGAATTTATCCTGCAAATGCAAGTCTGATAGGGGAGGGCACGAAGACACAGAAGGAGTATAGGTAGGTGGCAAAGACTGAAACTATCAGGGGAAAGTCTTGGGGGGGGTATAACACCGAGCAGTTCGGAAGCCCATCAATCAGATACTGTGCGGCATAGGGGCGCCTGGCAACTGAGAAAGCATTGATACTAGTAAGGAATCACAAGACACTGTACCCGTGTATGTCAGGCCCTATGGAGTATGCAGCACTGTTTGGAACCGCACTTGATAAAGCACGTCAAGAAAACTAGAGAAGTCAAGGTTTGCGCAAGGTTAGTTCAGAGTAAGGGAATGTCCTATGAAGAAAGATTAAGGGAAATCGGCCCTGACGACACTGGAGGACAGGAGGGTCAGGGGAGACATGATAACGACATATAAAATACTGCGTGGAATAGACAAGGTGGACAAAGACAGGATGTTCCAGGGAGGGGACACAGAAACAAGAGGCCACAATTGGAAGTTGAAGACACAAATGAGTCAGAGAGATAGTAGGAAGTATTTCTTCAGTCATAGAGTTGTAAGGCAGTGGAATAGCCTAGAAAATGACGTAGTGGAGGCAGGAACCATACACAGTTTTAAGACGAGGTTTGATAAAGCTCATGGAGCGGGGAGAGAGAGGGCCCAGTAGCAACCGGTGAAGAGGCGGGGCCAGGAGCTAAGACTCGACCCCTGCAACCACAAATAGGTGAGTACACAGAATGGTGGATGAGGGGCTTGAACCACAGTCCTCAAACTAACAGTCATCCATCCTAAAGCTCTAAGCTCACATGGGCTTAGTGATTTAAATAAACATTAATATGAGTGTAATGGTGAAAAGGTGCGGGTATTAATGAGTAGATATTCATTTCACCTGCCTCCGGTATATGCAGATGATTTTGTAGCAACTCATACCAACTTAGTTCAAAGTGAGAAATACTTCCTAAATCAACAGCAGAATTTACAAGAGTTACTAACACTCGAGCAAAGCCAACCAAAATTGAAGAAGGCTCGAGAGTTATGCTAACTAATTTCAATAAAGCATCTACAGTGCCAAAGCTCCATCCAAAGTTTATTGGTCTCTACCGAGTAGTTGAACATGTCAATGGAAATAAATATAAGAAATTAGCATTGAGGTTATAAGGAATCGCACATAGACATAAGCTATTTAGCGATGAAGTTAATGAGATTCCTAGTACCCAATTCTGACAATCCTGACACAGTACCTTCTACTTCTAATAACGAGACAGATGAACAATCCAATTGTAGCTATTCTCTACGTACATGACAAGTAATGAGAAATCTTCAAGTTTCACTTAATACAAATATTGATCTTACTCAACCACATGTATTAGCAGTTGCAACATTATTTGACCCCCTAGAGATGGTGACCACTCTGCATATGTAAATTGCACTCTAGTAGAGTTGGGGTTAAATGAAAATAACCTGTATAGATTAACAGTATATTCCAAAATGTACTTATTTGTGTGTGTTGTAAGTCTTAAAATATGTCAGTTTAATTGTGGATTAAAATATTTTTTTCTATAAATGCTCACATTACCTCCGAGTTCTGAACTTTAACAGTAAAAGACTCGTGTGCACCAAGTTTGCCTTTTCTGTACATAAATTTCCTCAGAATCCATAGATCACGTAAACAACAATTGATCAACCTAAATCTCTATTGTTTACTTATATTTTCATTAATTCTATGATTCACCATGATTTGTAAAATTATCATAATTTTTAATGCATTACAATTATAATCAATTATATTTAAGTATGTTCTAAACATTATATTATGTATACCTTATGTTATTGTGTATAATATATATCTAGTATAGAATCAGCTCAGAGCCTGACAAGTCTGTTGTCTATCTTTGTAATTACCTGTATGTCGGGGATGCCATATGTTAGTGTTGCTGAGCTGTGAACATATTTCACATGTGTTAGCCGTGATGCAACGTACTTCAAATATGGTCAGGTCAGCAGAGTTTAAACCTGCTGTGAGTGGGAGTCAGTCAGACATGAACATGACCCTCTTACTCACCGGGGCTTCGAGACCTCATCTCTGAGACAGAGAGCGGGGCCACTAGTGCCCCGCGGTCGAGTATCGGGAGAATGCTTGAGCGCCATGCCATTTTAAGGGCTAGTTGCTTCGACAGGTGAGTTGTTACACACTCCTTAACAGATTCCAACTTCCATGGCCACCGTCCTGCTGTCTATAGCAACCAATGTCTTTCGATGGGATCAGAATGAGCATTCGTTTAGGCCCCTTAACTCGACGTTTGGTTCATCCCACAGCGCCAGTTCTGCTTACCAAAAATGGCCCACTAGATACTCAGATTAGCTGCCGAAGCTTCATTAAAGTGTTCCTACCACCACTCAGTATACCAGTATACCATCTCAGTGACTTACCAGTCACCTATTCTCCACTTAGAACCTTCCGACAAAAAGAAGCAGGTATTAATGAGTAGATATTCCATCTGGCTTCTGTAGTTAACTTAGCTGATGTAGCAGAAGCAATAGAACATAACTTTGCCCTTGTCTTTCAATGAATGCATTAATCACCTCACTTTCCTAAGGCAGAATTCCTACATAAAAATCCTTGTGATGAAATTTGGCCTCATACTGGTGAACCCCCCATAACGTGCCGTCTACACTAGTATTAACTTGCGTCGGTACTTTCAAGATGTCAACTTCCATAGTAGGGCCTGATATGTACGTACCTATGCTTCAACACTTACACCCTTCATTCCTTGCCTACCTATTATATGTCATCAATAGGATCTGGTCAGAAATATTTTTACCTCTACAATGGAAGAGTGCAGTAGTCGTTCTCATTCGAAAAATTGGAAGCCAAGGCAATAATTTCTCCCTGGACTTTTTAGTTGATACGAGTTGATACGTATTTACCACACTAGCTCTGACTTTTTTCCTTTGCCCCTTTAATTGCCTTCAACATTTCTGTTTCATTACTTTGTCAGCACCCTTGTATCATTTAGTAATGAATAGACCCACACTAGTGAGGTCTGTGAATATAATACATTTATGTAAATATAATATCAATATCTCCCATACTCCGCCACTCACAAGGAGAGGCACACGTCAGATGGGGCTTGACCCTCCCTGAAGGCATCGACGGGGAGCCCTGCGGCGAGGGGGATGCCTGCCTGGACTTCGGAGTGGCAAAGGTGGTAGTAACTACGGAGGAACACTGCCAGAAGGTGTCCTGGGTCACCACTAACCTCACCGAGCTGAAGGACTGCGTGTCACTGGAGGGCCACTGGTAAGAGTCCTGAGGCTTGTACTGGAGTGGGAGGAGGGACAAAGTTAATCCTAAGAAGGTGTTTTCTTGCAGTTGTGGTGATCTTATCTTTATTGTAGAGATGTTTTGCAAAGCAGTAGCTTTATCAGCCCAATACAGAAAAAATTACTGGAGAAAGTGGAAGACGTGAAGTAATTTGAGGCAATCTTAGTTGTGTGAGACTTTAGTAAGGTAATAAGTGTGCCTTACATAATGTATGTTCTGCATTTATTTTTAGAGGCATGATGCAGTAGTTTTACCACTTAAATTTAAATAATCTCCCTACCCTACTGTAAATACTTAATTCCTCTATAAAGTATGACCCACATGGGTTTAACCCATATTTTTATTGTAACAATTAACTGCACTCGCTGCCAGACATACAACCCACTCACCACCCAAGAACATTCTTCCTCCTCTCTCTCTCAGGTACGGGGGAGGAGAACAAGTTTTCCAGCCGTGGCCCATAGAGAAAGAGCCACGAGATGAGACCGCCTTCATCACCGCCGACATGCTACAGAATCCTTCCAGGTGGTACGGCGGATTGACCGAAGCCTACTGGATATCATCTATTGGTGTGGCTGTCAGGGTGAGAGTCCCTCTGGTTATCAGTATGAAAGTGGAAACGTATTAGGCTGAATCTGACTGCTAGAGTATGTATGTATGTAAGTAAACCATAGCTCTGTGTGTTCCTGTGTGAATGACACCCAGATTGCCATGACAATACCTCCATCGAAGACACCACAAGACTCCAAGAGGACATCAATCAAATCTTCAAATGGGCCATTCAAAACAGTATGAAGTTCAATGAAGAGAAATTTCAACTACTCAGATATGGAAAACTTTTTCTTTCAACAAACCGGCCGTATCCCACTGAGGCAGGGTGGCCCAAAAAGAAAAACAAAGGTTTCTCTTTTTAAATTTAGTAATTTATACAGGAGAAGGGGTTACTAGTCCCTTGCTCCTGGCATTTTAGTCGCCTCTTACAACATGCATAGCTTACAGAGGAAGAATTCTGTTCCACTTCCCCATGGAGATAAGAGGAAATAAACAAGAACAAGAACAAGAACTAGTAAGAAAATAGAAGAAAACCCAGAGGGGTGTGTATGTATATGCTTGTACATGTATGTGTAGTGTGACTTAAATGTAAGTAGAAGTAGCAAGACGTACCTGAAACCTTGCATGTTCATGAGACATAAAAATAGACACCAACAATCCTACCATCATGTAAAACAATTACAGGCTTTCATTTTACACTCACTTGGCAGGACGGTAGTACCTCCCTGGGCGGTTGCTGTCTACCATCCTACTACCTACAATGGAAAACTTGAGGAAATTAAAACTGTATCAGGGTATACAACAAATTCTAACCATACAATAGAGCAAAACAGTAATGTGAAGGACCTGGGAGTGATAATGTCAGAGGATCTCGCCTTCAAAGACCACAAGAATGTATCTACTGCATCTGCTAGGAAAATGATAGGACGGGTAATGAGAACCTTCAAAACTAGGGACACCAAGCCCATGATGATTCTCTTCAAATTGCTTGTTCTCTCTAGGTTGGAATACTGCTGTACACTAACTGCCCCCTTCAAGGCAGGCGAAATTGCTGACCTGAAGAATGTACAAAAGACCTTTCATGGCACACATAAGTACAATAAAGCACCTAAACTACTGGGAATGGTTGAAATCTCTTGATTTATATTCCTTGGAATACAGGCGAGAGAGATACATGATAATATAAACTTGGAAAATCCTAGAGGGATTAGTACCAAACTTGCACGTGAAAATCACTCCCCATGAAAGCAAAAATCTCGGCAGGAGATGCAACATTCCCTTAATGAACAGCAGGGATGCCACAAGTACACTGAGAGACAACACAATAAGTGTCAGGGGCCCAAGACTGTTCAACTGCTTCCCATCATACATAAGGGAATTACCAATAGACCCCTGGCTGTCTTGAAGAAGGTACTGGACAGGCACCTAAAGTCAGTACCTGACCAGCCAGGCTGTGATTCGTATGTCAGTTTGCTTGTGGCCAGCAGTAACAGCCTGGTTGATCAAACCCTGATCCACCACGAGGCCTGGTCTCAGACCGAGCTGCGGAGACGTTGACCCCTGAAACCCTCTCCAGGTTTAGACATCAGGGTGATTAGCTCTATGGGTCTGGCTGTTAGCATGAAGGTTGTGTATCACGTCGAGTCTAGTCAGAGGAATAATAATATACATCATTTCTTCTGGTTCATTTTTTTTCACCGCATAGCTGTTAGGAGGACGTTTTGGCCACCAGATAATTTCTGATATTGTTGTTAATGTGTGACCATCTGGAGTCTGGCTGCCAGGGTGACTGTGTTAGGTGATAATATAGATTGGTGTTTATCTCACTGTGTCATTCCTTGTTGTGTGCTGCAGGTTGAGGAGACGACACCACTCTTCGTAAGTGTCCCAGACTACGATGACGACACTGTGGCTGATGAACTCTGTCTGGCTGCACGTCAAGAGCAGCCCTACGTCGCCGCCCCCTACAGCCCCCTCACCCTTGACTATTTCCTCTGCTCCGCCGAGGACGTCAGGAAGGTTCGAGATAACTCTCACCCCTTAACCTACATTAAATAGATGGTCTGTTACCCTCTCACAAGTAACAATGTAGAAAGGAAAACTTTAAAGATGTTTCAGTTCTTCATGGAACATTATAGTCACTCGATCGCGATTTAATCATGGTTCAAGACGAACTTCAAAAATGGTGGACTGGTAAGCCAGCTGAAGGTCTCCGGTAGATGACCAAAAGCTCGTGCTGCTAGTCATCATCATATGTCTAAGACCAGTGTCAGGAAACACTTATTCTGTTTCCTGACAAACCTTAGCTAACCTGAGATGAACAGAAACATGTTAAAAGTTTTCCATCCAAATTTTGGTTTAGTCGTAAAGTGTTCCAACCTTTGCATTGTGACTTACTGTTCTTCCACTTTTCTCTTACAACAGCTTGTAAGTTCTTACAGGTGGCCCTTGGCCTGGTAGGCAAAGCTCTCACTTCACATGCTGAGGGTCCGTGGTTCGATTCCCGGCAAGGGTGAAAACACTTGGTGTGTTTCCTTAAGAAACCTGCTGTCCCTGTTTACCCATCAGTAAAATGGGTACCTGGGTATTAGTCGATTGGTGTGGGTCACATCCTGGGACAAAATTAACCTAATTTGCTCGAAATGCTCAGCATAACATGCGGCTTTCTATATAGTAGTATGTCATTGATGTCAGCTAGGCCTGTATACCTTGTACATGTACTTGTAGAAATAGACACAAATAACCCGCACATAAAAGAGAGAAGCTTACGACGACATTTCGGTCCGACTTGGACCATTGACAAAGTCACACTAACAGAGGTGGAGCAGGACGGCTATATATAGGCAGGAAGAGGTGGAAGTAGTAGTAGTAGTAGTACAAGAATTGTACTTCCTGTCTTCCCTACTTCCAACTCGAACAGTCGCAGTCTAGTTGAATCCTCTCTAATACACAACTTTCCTTGTATGAACCTTAGCCCTGGCTTCGTCTCTGTAGATGCCTTCCTCTCCCACTACATTGTAAAATGCTCCAAACTTCAGAACACCCGTGACTTAACCTGAATCCTCACTTTTTCTTTTTCTTTTTCTTCTTCCTCTTCCCCTTTCCTCTCTCCTTTTCTCCTCTGGGTTGTCTTTCTCTCTCCTGTCTCGTGTTTCTGTTCCTTCTTCATTTATTTTATTTCACCACTTCCCCTTTCACGCACCTCTGTGCGCTTGCTCTCCCTCTGTGGGTATCTAGCTCTCTTGCAGTGCTCCCCTTCCTTTGTATTTGACTGGCTCGTCTTCCTTATTTCCCACTTCTTCCGCTACCACTACTACTACCTCTTCTTCTTCTACTACAACTACTGTTGAAATTAAGACACATGTGCGGCGTCTGGTTGTCTTTGTTGTGGACGTTTTGCCATCCAGTGGCTGGCTGGCTGGATGGCGAAACGTCTACGATGGGGATGCCCGGGTGTTGTGCATGTGTCTTAATTTCATCCTGTCGGTATTATATACAATTCTTGTACTACTACTACTACTACTACTTCCACCTCTTCCTGCCTATATATAGCCGTCCTGCTCCACCTCTATTAGTGTGACTTTGTCAATGGTCCAAGTCGGACCGAAACGTCGTCGTAAGCTTCTCTCTTTTATGTGCGGGTTATTTGTGTATTGTTCCAGTCACGGTATTGTGCCTTTTTGTTATTTATTTGTAGAAATAGATATTATTATTATTAAGACAAATCTTTATTATCTTTATCTTCATAACATTTAAATACAACTTGTTTCTACGAGTGTAATCTATTTTATACCATAATATAATATATGAAGCCTAGTGACTGGGTTGTTTGGGACTAAATCATTAAATATGTTTATCATCAAAGAATTTACTTTGTTGTATCTTACACGTGAACATTACAGGCAACAGTGACAAATGATAGACTGGATGTATACATCCTACGTATTTCTGTGTACGTACATATATAATGAAAGGTTTATCCTTGTTTTAGGAATTTAAAGAATTATTGACTGCTTGTGTATAGGTTATATGCCGCCTTAAACTAATCCTTGTGTAGCCTATGGTCTTTAAAGCCAATTAACCAACCAACCATAGGATGATTTAACCAATACTATAAAGACAGATGAACCTGTGTTTACCGAGAAGTTCAAGGGTGTTATTGTAGCACCTTGCTAAGTGGTGATCTGTTTTTAAATAAGGTGTAAAGCCTAGGTCAGGTAAGGCAATGGGTGCTAAACTAGTTGCGGGTCATTATTTGATAAAGACCCTATTCACGAGATACTTGTATTTTGTGACAAATAAACCAACATCAAAGATGCTGGAAACAAACATTGGTCAAAAGAAGTGCAAGGAAAAATTTGGCTAGGATAGGTAAGATTGGTCAGGTGGGTGTTAGTCATACGACCACCCGCCGCTGGAACTTTTGGTCATCTGACCAAGGCCTTCTGCTGACTTACCTGTTCACTCCTTTAACCCTTAAACTGTCCAAACATAGATCTATGTTCACATGCGTAGCACTCCGAACGTAGATCTACTTTTTTTTTTACTTTAAATGGAGAAAATAAAGGTTGGAGCGCTTCGCACGTGAACGTAGATCTACGTTTGTACAGTTTAAGGGTTAAAAATGAAAATAACTGACCTATAGCTTATTCTTATGGGAAAGTTTTCTTTATAAACCTACTTGCTCCTGCCCACTTAGCAGCAAAGATATAAGTTTATTATTACAACTAAATTTGAGTCCACATAGGCACTTGTGTGTTGGCTGACTACTGTGGGTCGCATCTAGGGAAAATTTTATATGTAAGCGTGTTAGACGTGGGAGACGGCCGACTTGTTGAAAAAAAAAAAAAAAAAAAATTATTAACCACATTAGGAAGAGCGACAGGAAAAAATCACCCTGTGAATTAAGTGTGAGGCAAACAGAGTTCTTGCTAGAACCTTGTAAAATGTCACATAGATTAGGATAGACTCACAAAATGTGGTATATCAAATGTGGTATATCACCCTTGGAAACAGTAAACCTTCCCTAGGATGTGACACAACACCCGCCTAACTCCTAGGTATCTGTTTATTGGTGGTTGAACAGCGGCAACACATATTAAAGAAGCTTGCACATTCGTCTCACTTTTGACCGGCCCGAACTATTTTTTTGTGTTGCAAGCCGAGTGTTTATTAATTTTTACTATAGATTCAAGAAAAGTCACATGTCCCAAAATTAATAGACTTCATTGATATCTCCTGGCTAACTAAAAGAATTGTATCTAGTCATGACTTGTTAAAATTCTTCACAATTAAACTTCATGTAAATGAAGCTATGTTCTGCTTTATGGATATTTTTGTTACCTATGTATGTGAGCACTCTGCATTCCAGTGAATTTGAGCCGAACACTCTGCCATTGAGTGGCAAGACACTATTAATGAAATACTGTAGTTTGATTTTAGTTACATTCATGCCTATTTTCTCGAAGTTTTAGCAAGAATGAATAAACGCTCGGCTTATTTGACAAAATGATGCTTGCCTTAATAAGTCAAATTGGCAAGTCCAACTTAAAAAGCACTACATGAAATCTTGTCTTGTTTCTCATGTTCCTTGATTCATTTTCCCCCTTTTCTTCATTTTGTTTTTTGTGCACTAGGTTCATGAGGCAAGTTACCCCAAGTTCTTCTCGCTGCCGGAGAGTGTTCCTGATGCTCGTATGATGGAGGAACCTATCTGGTCCACCTGGGCCCAGTACAAGACTCATGTTAACGTCACCAGGGTGATGGACTTCGCTAGGGAGATTACCAATCACGGCTTTAACAACAGTCAGGTAGAGTGAGAGAGTGTAGGTTTAACAACAGTTAGGCAGAGTGAGAGAGTGTAGGTTTAACAACAGTTAGGTAGAGAGAGCATAGGTTTGACAGCAGGTAGGTAATGAGAGAGTGTAGGTTTAACAACAGTTAGGTAGCATGAGAGTGTAGGTTTAACAACAGTTAGGCAGAGTGAGAGAGCGTAGGTTAAACAGCAATCCTACCATCGTGTAAAACAATTACAGGCTTTCGTTTTACACTCACTTGCCAGGACAGTAGTACCTCCCTGGGCGGTTGCTGTCTACCAACCTACTACCTAGGAAAATATATATATATATATCTTTCTTTCTTTCAACACACCGGCCGTATCCCACCGAGGCGGGGTGGCCCAAAAGGAAAAACGAAAGTTTCTCCTTTTACATTTAGTAATATATACAGGAGAAGAGGTTACTAGCCCCTTGCTCCCGGCATTTTAGTTGCCTCCTACAACACACATGGCTTACAGAGGAAGAATTCTGTTCCACTTCCCCATGGAGGTAAGAGAAAATAAACAACAAGAACAAGAACTACTAAGAAAATATTAGAAAACCCAGAGGGGTGTGTATATATATACCGTCCTGCCAGATGACTGTGAAACAGAAACCTGTAACTGTTTTGCATGATGGTAGGATTGCTGGTTTCTTTTTATGTCTCATAAACACGCTAGATAACAGGGATATCTTGCTACTCCTACTTACACTTTGGTCACACTTCACAGACACGCATATGCATATATATATACATACATCTAGGTTTTTCTCCTTTTTCTAAATAGCTCTTGTTCTTCTTTATTTCTTCTATTGTCCATGGGGAAGTGGAAAAGAATCTTTCCTTCGTAAGCCATGCGTGTCGTATGAGGCGACTAAAATGCCGGGAGCAATGGGCTAGTAACCCCTTCTTCTGTAGACATTTACTAAAAAAGAGAAGAAGAAAAACTTTATAAAACTGGGATGCTTAAATGTGCGTGGATGTAGTGCGGATGACAAGAAACAGATGATTGCTGATGTTATGAATGAAAAGAAGTTGGATGTCCTGGCCCTAAGCGAAACAAAGCTGAAGGGGGTAGGGGAGTTTCGGTGGGGGGAAATAAATGGGATTAAATCTGGAGTATCTGAGAGAGTTAGAGCAAAGGAAGGGGTAGCAGTAATGTTGAATGATCAGTTATGGAAGGAGAAAAGAGAATATGAATGTGTAAATTCAAGAATTATGTGGATTAAAGTAAAGGTTGGATGCGAGAAGTGGGTCATAATAAGCGTGTATGCACCTGGAGAAGAGAGGAATGCAGAGGAGAGAGAGAGATTTTGGGAGATGTTAAGTGAATGTATAGGAGCCTTTGAACCAAGTGAGAGAGTAATTGTGGTAGGGGACCTGAATGCTAAAGTAGGAGAAACTTTTAGAGAGGGTGTGGTAGGTAAGTTTGGGGTGCCAGGTGTAAATGATAATGGAGCCCTTTGATTGAACTTTGTATAGAAAGGGGTTTAGTTATAGGTAATACATATTTTAAGAAAAAGAGGATAAATAAGTATACAAGATATATGTAGGGCGAATGACAGTAGTTTGTTGGATTATGTATTGGTAGATAAAAGATTTGTTGAGTAGACTTCAGGATGTACTGTTTATAGAGGGGCCACAGATATATCAGATCACTTTCTAGTTGTAGCTACACTGAGATAAAAGGTAGATGGGATACAAGGAGAATAGAAGCATCAGGGAAGAGAGAGGTGAAGGTTATAAACAAAAAGAGGAGGCAGTTAGGGTAAGATATAAACAGCTATTGGAGGAATAGATGGGCTAATGAAGCATAGGCAATGGGGTCGAAGAGGTATGGGGTAGGTTTAAAAATGTAGTGTTAGAGTGTTCAGCAGAAGTTTGTGGTTACAGGAAAGTGGGTGCGGGAGGGAAGAGGAGCGATTGGTGGAATGATGATGTGAAGAGAGTAGTAAGGGAGAAAAAGTTAGCATATGAGAAGTTTTTACAAAGTAGAAGTAATGCAAGGAGGGAAGAGTACAGTGGACCCCCGCATAGCGATATTAATCCGTGCAAGAGAGCTCATTGTTATGTGAAATTATCGTTATACGAATGAATTTTCCCCATAAGAAATAATGGAAATCAAATTAATCTGTGCAAGACACCCCAAAGTATGAAAAAAAAAATTTTTACCACATGAAATATTAATTTTAATACACACAAACTGAAAAAGGCATGCACAATTACATGACACTTACTTTTATTGAAGATCTGGTGATGATTGATGGGATGGGAGGAGGAGAGAGTGTTAGTGTTTATAAGGGGAATCCCTTCCATTAAGACTTGAGGTGTCCCAATCCTTTTCTGGGGTTACTTCCCTTCTTCTTTTAATGCCACTAGGACCAGCTCAGAGTCACTGGAGTTTTTGTCGCACTACATATCTGTCCATAGTGGCCTGTACCTCTCGTTCCTTTATGACTTCCCAAAAGTGTTTCACAAACATTGTCAGTGTACAGGTTTCCCAAAAAACACGGTTTCCCAATAGCTGTTTTGGGGGTTTGATTTTCATCCAAAAGGGTTTGCACTTCAAGCCCTTTCTCCAGTTTTTTAATCTTTGTAGTAGGAAATTTTCTTAAATTTTCCCTCTTTTCCCCTCCTTCAAACCAGTTTCCTCAGGGTCTGGCCTTTTGCTCTTTGGGGGGGGGTTTTCTATCAGCTCACCCGGGGTTATTTTCTTATTGTCCTCCTCCCCAACTCTTCCACATCATCCCCACTAACCCCCAAACCCCCAAAGGATTTTCCCCCAAGGGCCAAAAATGGATTCCTCAACGGGCATGGGAATTCTCGGGGTTTTCCCTCAAACCCTTAAAAAACCCCTTTTGGGTCTACAAAATTTCGGGCCACAGTTTTTTTTCCAAGCAGAGTTCAAGGTCCTCTTATAAATTTCCCTCCCAAGCCTTACCTAAAAGGGTTTTACCCCAATTGGGGGAAATTTAAAGGGAAAAATTCTTCCCAAAAAAGCCCCTCTTAGAGTCATTGGGGTTTTTTTGAGGCACTACAAAGCACCTTTCAAACAGCTTTTGTGTACAGTTTTTTTGAAAGTTTGAATAACCGCGGGTTCATGGCTGCAGAGGGGAGTTGTATTAGGAGGCAAAAACTTCCCCTTTAAATGAATTTCAGTCCCCATAAAGTCCCTCTCCCCAACTTTCTGTAGGATGCCCCCACGGCATTTTTCAAACACCAGGGGGCATTAATTTCAAATTTTCCCTTTTCAGTTAGGTAATCTTTCATTTGGGGGGAAAAGCATGGTGAAACCCATCATAAAAAAAATTCCCTATGACCCCATGCCTTACTGTTTGCCCTCCACACACACCAAATTTTCCTTGGGGACATTTTTTTGCTAAAACGGTCTGGGAGTTTCAAAATTTGAAAACACTAATAAAGGCTTCACTTTGCAATCACCATAGCTTGGAACACATCCCAGAGTAACCCCTGTCTTTCATAGGTTTAAGTCCGGGGATTTCCCCTTTTCCTCCGGAAAAATTTAAAGGTCCTGCTTGGCATTTTTTTCCAAAAAAAGGCCTGTTTCATCACAATAAACACTTGTTCATTTTTCAGTCCTTCATTTTCAAATGTACCCCTTAAATTTCCTTTAAACATATTTTTCAGCTGTTTTTGTGGTCCGAACGGCAGCCCACCATCCCTTTAAACACACTATTATGCCACACCCTCTTAAATCTCTAAAACCCCAAACCCTTTTGGGTTTGGCCTTAAATTTCACCCCACATAAATCACTAGTTGCAGCTTTTTTTTTAATTAAAAATCCTATGCAACTTCCTACCTTTTCACTTAAATTCACTTAAAGGGATGTATTTTTTTCTCATTTTTATCCACCCCAAATAACAGCTCTCAACATTTTCCATCCCCTTTCATCTTTTTTTTCGAAAACAAAAAGTTAAATTTTTGGGCAAAACAGTTTCCCTTTGTTTTGCCTTTTTTTTTGCCCACAATATTTACCAAAGGGTTTGAGGGGTTTACAATACAACCGGGCCACTCGGAGACCGCACTCCACTTTTCATACTTATCAATGATTTTTTTTCCTTCATCTCTTGTAATTCCCACCCTTTTTTCCTGTGGGGTTGGCACTAAAGCTTTTTTGGGGCCCATTTTTCAACTTATTTTGCAGATAAAAACCCACCAAAACACTGTAATAATACAAATTTCCGTTTAAAAATGTTTGGGAATTTTTACCGCGGAGGCTGGCGGTAAAACAATCCCCATTTGGGGGAAAACTTGGGGGCCGGCAAAAGGGCGCACTTAGCCCGGGTCTGGGGACAAACACCCGAAAAAAAGGGGGGTTTTTTAGGGGTATGCGAGGCAAAATTTTTGGCGATAAAATTACTTATGGCGGATTTAACTTAAAAAGTGATGCAAGGGTTATGCGGGGGCCACGTAAAATGGAAAAAAGAGAGAGGTTAAAAGTGGTGAAGCAAGGGTAAAAAGAGAGCAAATGAAGAGGGGTTTAGATTTTTAATCAACAAATTTGTTGAAAATAAAAAAAAATTTTTGGGGAGTAAAGTTTAAAAAGTTAAAAAAACCCTTAGAGAAAAAAATGGTTTTGGGTTTTTTTAAAAAATAGGAAAAGGAGAGTTTTTAAAAAGGAGAGTTAGAGGTTTTTGGGGAAGATGGGGGGAAAATTTTTTTGGGGAAATTTTTTAAATGTTATGAAGATAGGGAAGCTGTGTTTTTTCGAAAAAGGGGCAAGGGGGAAAAACCCTTTTGTAGGATTTTGAGGAAAAAGCCGGGTTGTGATTGGGGTGGGGAAAGTTTTGTAAAGGAAATATTTAAAAATTTGAAAGGGGGGTAAGGCAGCCGGGATTGAGGGGGAAAAAAGAAAAGAAATGTTAAAACGGGTGGGGATATATTTTTTGGAGGGGTTGGGGTGCAATTATTTAATAAATTATGGCAGAGGGAAAGGGTTCCCCGGGGTTTGGGCAGGGGGACATGCTTAGTT